TGCCATTCATGGGAAGTATTGAGGCATACTCTATATGCCACATTGTCTGCACCCAGGAGCATGTAATGGTTTTCTGATCTGTCATTAACTAGAGAATTTTGCTGTAAGAAGGCTATTTTGGTTTCTTACATCATTGTCCACCAAATTAAAACTTTATAAATGTCTTTCTGCATTTTGTTCATCTTTTATGTTGAATTTTCTGAAATTACTTTCCCATTGGTAAGTATTATTTTCTTCTTTTAAATTTGGCCCCGATATGCTCATCCAAGAGAGTAATAACTGTTACTACCTCAGGGGCTGCCCCAAGGACGAAGAAAGATAGATTCCAGATCCAGCACGTAGCACAAAACAAACACTCAGTATTAGCTAAAATTACCATAAAAATACTTCTGCCTCAAAGAGGTGCCTAAATAACTTTTTTTTTTTTTAAAGATTTTATTTATTTATTTGAGACAGAATGAGAAAGACAGAGAGCACATGAGAGGGGGGAGGGTCAGAGGGAGGAGCAGACTCCCTGCCAAGCAGGGAGCCCGATGCGGTACTCAATCCCGGGACTCCAGGATCATGACCTGAGCCGAAGGCAGTCGCTTAACCAACTGAGCCACCCAGGCGCCCCTAAATAACTTTTATAGTACCTCTTTTTCTCTTTAGAGAAAGTATTTTGAATCATTTCTTAACGATGGTAACTCATCCCAAGAGTGGCAGACATTATCAAAATTCATGACATCTGAGCCCTGTTATTTAGGTTAGTATATGCATATATGACATGATGGTATACGAACTTTGGTTCAATGTGATAGAACCAAAATAAATGCAGTTGATGCTTATCGATATTTGGGCATAATGATAACAGATACCTTTCTCATTTAAGATATTTTCAGAGGCTTTTGGAACCTAACACTCAGTCAATATGATAAAAGTATTAACCTTTACTGTCTTTCCAAACATGATAATATTCCAGAATTATTTCAGTCAGTCACTTTTCAAAGTCCTGAAAAGAAAATAATTAAGAAAGTGCCAGTAAATATATCTCCATAAGGTTTCTATGTGATTTGTACCTTTTGGTGAAATATGTTTGACCAGGTGATTTTTCACTTCAGAGTAGAAAGCTCAAGTCTTTACACATAGGCCTGTGGAGCCTACATGGCCTGAGCACAGCTGCCCCAGTCTCAGGCTTTCTGCTACTCTTTGTCCCTACCAACACCAGTCACACTGGCCTCTGTGCTGCACTTTACCGTAGAAGTTTCGTATTGGCTTCCCTCTGCCTGTAGTATTCTTCCCTAATAAACCTAGAAGGATGACTTCCACATCTCCTCTTCTCAACACATCTACCCATTCACTATAATTATTGTAATGGAAATTACTACACCTCTTCATCTCCCTTACACTGTCCTACTTTTTTGTCCTCCTTGAAATACTTTTTGAGAGTTGCTTCCTGATAAGTGAATTAAGGCCATGAACAACACAACTATTAGGTTCTAAAGGCAGAGGTTGACTTCTGTCTGTTGAACAAGCACATCCTCCACCAAAAGTGCCTTTACCCCTATAATCCTCCAGCTGTCAATTTCTTTGCCACACTTTCCAAAGAAGGCACATCAACAGAGAGGAAAATAGGTATTACGTAGAATAAATGTTATGATACCAGACTTTGGATTTAGAGAGCCCCTTTCTTCGAAAAAGCTAATTTTGCACCAAAGCATATAAACTCATTCATCTTGTCTTCATCTCTGGTTGGTCTGAATAACCCAGGTTATTAATGAAGACCAGAGCAGAAAAGGTGAGATGGCTTACACAGGATCACACAGATAGTTGGTAGAGCTGCTAAGAAAAGCACCCACACAGTCTCTTTGTTCAATGTATGTTCCATATGGAGCTGTATTGCAGGTTCTCTCTCATTAAGAGAAGTGGTCACCTTACCTTGGTTCATACCCAATGGCAAAGGAAATAAAGAAATAAATTTAAAACTTAACCAGGCTTTTATATTTTATAACTTTTTTTTTACCTTTCAGTCTGAAGGTGAAAAATATTTTTAGAGGATGAGAAAGTGAACAAAACAGTTTCAGACCTTTACTGAAACAATATTGTAAGTCTCTGTCTCAGTCTCAGAGAGTGAGCCTATTTAAAAATGACTGTGATTAAATATTATGACTATGAAAGGACAATAATTTTTACAGCAAGTGAAAATAATGTGGTATATGTGGCATGAGTGGGGGCAGGGGAGAGAGCTGTCTAATTTTGGTCTACTGGACCCAGTATAGATTTTCCTTCCAACTCAGCAGAAATGTGGCTTTAAGAGCATAGTAGCAGCTTTCCTTTCTGCTTGGAGATTTAAAGTTAAAGGTGCCTGGACCAGTTTAATAAGCAGGCTTGCCTGTGACTAATCCAGCGTGCTGTTAATTCGGTTCTTGCTGATGCTGCTACCTGGTTCTATGTGGCCATTGGTGCTTGGGGTATATATTCTTTTCTCAGCTTTGAAATAGTTCTGAATTTTCTGAAAACGAAATAACTTGGGTATTCAAGGGCCTTGTGTGCATCGTCAGATAAGTTGCATTGTTGTGGGGGCTGAGAAGGGAAGTGTAGACCTCTCATCAGCAGTTGATTTAGCTTATTTCCTCTTTGCCCTCTTAGTGGCAGTTGTTCAAACTTCAAGAAAAATTTAATTTCTCCTTTTTGAACCCAGTGATATTCTTTAAGCTATGCCAGAGTTGTGATTTTTTTCATGATGCAGAAAGAGAATCTAAAAGAGAAAGAGAAGTACAACAAATAACATATTTGTTAGAGTTTAAAATGTGGCTGCTCATTTTAGCCAGTATAATTTCACATTGTTAAAAGCCTGGAAATATATTTATTTAGTGATTTCAGATGCCTGAAAACTAAAATTAGATATTGGAAAGAAAAGCAGGAAATAAGGTTCCATTTTTTTCCTTATCCAGAACATTGCAAATTAAGGAAAACTGTTTACCGGATCATTTTATTCTTGCTAATGGAACTTATTTTCTCCAGTTTGGTTTCTCCATCAATTATTCAGATATTAAAATATGTTATACTGTAATATTCAATCTCATGTATCTTCTAATTATAGGTCGTTATCAGAGGAAGGATGAAATTTTCTTTTATCTTCACCAGCCCCTCTCCCCACCAGCCTGTCCCCCATACAGTAGAAACACCTAACTTGGATAATCACTCTTTAAAGTCACGTTCCTAAAGTCTGAAGGTCTTGTTCCGTGTGCTTTCAAAACTGATTTGTTTAAATTTGGTGCTTTGTGTGCCATTGCCTTGAATTTTAGCTAATTATACTGCCATTTTTTAGAAGTCGTGTGTGTCTAATTCTGAAAATGACTTTGTACATTAAGGCTCATTTAACCACTGATGGTAACAGAGAAGTTGAGAGACTTACAGTTATTGGTTGTAATTTTAAAACAGTGATAGCATGGGACTTTCTTGTACTGCAGGCAGATAAGACGCTATATTGGCAACCTCTCAGTCATTAGGAATGTTGCAATTTGGCTTATGTCTTACGGGTCAAGATGTCACACAGAAGATATGTTTAGTCATGGAAAGGAAATCAGTGTCCATCATGCAAAGATAGTAATAGGGTAAGCACTTCCAATTGGATTTTCATGGGAGGGATTGATTTGTGTGCATTACTAGGTCTGTGTAAAATGGTGTCCTTTTGGCACTAGCTGAATATAAATTTCAGTAAATGTTTTTTCTTGCTGCAGATTAGTGTAATACAGTGAAATTTTCTGTAACTGAGGGGAGGCAGTGGTTGGGCGTCTGCTAATAGCCTGAAAGTAACTAATGAGGATGTGCATTCGGAACGATTGATTGAATAGCTGCAGTCCTGTGTGTTTCTTTCTCGCTTGCTCTCTGCAAGCTGTAGAGAGGGAGGGGAAGAGCAAGACACAGGGAGGGAGCGAGAGAAAAAACGCTTTCTCTTAAGTGGAAGTAGCACGGATCCCAGGGGCCAGGAGGCCAGAAATGGAAGTTTAAACTGCATCTGTCTTTTAAAGGGAGAACAGCAGGAATCAAAATGTCAGTCTCCGGCTTATTTTTTAAGATCTGGAAGATAATACAGAGTACTTTTTTTAGGATGTGTTTTTTTTCCTTGTCCATGTTGAGATTATCTAATGTTATCTGAGAAGCTGGATTCCTATATGTCTGTCAGTTGAAGTGGAGATGGGAAGCAGTTGTGATAAAGGTATAATATGTATATATCTATCATCTGTGTGTGCGTGTGTATGTGCATATATATATGCATATATTTATATCACTCTCTGAAAAAAATTGTTTAAATGTAACCTTAATATATAGTGTGTAGTAATTAAATGAGAAAATATCACCTCATCTGCAAAATCCGAAGCTTGTTAGGTCAGTTTGAACAGATTTAGGATTCCAGAGTAAGATTTTAGTAAGGTCATCTTGCCAGCACAAGGAGAAGCTGATCTATTTTTATATCTGCATAGGCATATATGTTATTTTATCCTAGCAGTAGCTTTCAGTTGTCTCGTGGCCCTTTGGCTGCAGTCTGGCGAATCATCTTATCTGCACAGAACTGAACTTTGACCTTTGTGCAGACACCATCAAATCATATGCAACACAAGACTGTATTTTGTTAACAAGAATATCAAAAATTTCTTTGGATTCTATTAACTCCTATATTGCTGACATATAGAGAAGTAGATTCATACACTGTGAGATAGAGATAGTAAATGAATTATAGATATTAAACATAGCTCAGAAAAAATTACTTTTTACATGTGCACAGATATAATTATAACCTGTCATGCTAAAGCAGATTTCTTAAGCATGACCAGGTCTCCCTAGTGCCTCAATAGTTCAAATACCACAGAGATAGATAAATCATGTGGAGATAGAATGTAACGTACCTTTAAAGCAAACTGATTTTTTTGTGGGGGAAGAAAACCCCACTAATTTTACAATGTAGTCAGAGATCCTCAAGTTTGTTTTCTTCATGGCGTTTATTTCTTCTTTTCCAGAGGTGCCGGCAGAAAGGTCCCCCCGCAGACGGAGTATCTCAGGGACCAGTACATCAGAGAAACCCAACTCCATGGACACTGTAAATACCTCACCCTTCAAAGTACCAGTAAGTGCTCCTCTTCTCTAAAAGATATTTTACTTTTCTCTCCTTTCTCCTTAGAGTTAGAGACAGTTACTAGGGAATCAAAACATGTTGCTCAAGAATTTCCTTAGAATACTGAAGTTAAAGGACAGAGTTATCAACTTACATAGATTAACTGTGGTTAACATCCACTACTTTCAGCAGGAGGTTTATTAGATTTTAGGGAATAATTATTTATACTTGTGGGAAATTTCTAAAATGTATAACAAAATATGTTAAATTGAAAGGCCTCTGAACTATAGAGTGCAAATCTTTGCAGGATGCCCTTTTATCAAGTTACAGGTGAAAACCTGTCACCGTTCCATAAAGATGGATTTTTTTTAACAAATGGAAGGAGTTTTTTGTTTTTTTGTGTTATTTTTCTTGAGCGGGAGCATAAACAGTGAATGATGGGACTCCTAAAGTTGCAGAACAATCAGAGAATTAGACAATTGTGAGTTCTAATCCTGAGACCTTGGCCTGTGCTTTCCTTAAGCCATCTTGTAGATGACCATCTAAGTGCTTAAGAAATGCCCTGGAAGAAATAACCCAGTTTAAAATATTCCTTAAACTGACGAGGCAGTACTAAGAATCAGTATTAAATCCTGAATGCTGAGCTTGGAAGGCTATAAGTGATCAGGTCAGCTGACCACCAGTTGCAGTCTGGGACCTTCTTGATATAACTCTGAGTAACCCAGATTTTAATCCACCCATTTTGTTTGTTTATTGAATAAGAAATAGACTAATTATATCATTTTATTAAAATTTATTGTTTTTAAACTTGAAAAAAATTACTGCCATGAAGTTGGTCATTATTGTAGGTACAATGGAAATCACTATAGAATAGAAGTAGACTTTTCTATTGGGAAAAAAATTCTTTTCTTTTTAAGATTTTATTTATTTATTTGACAGAGAGAGACAGAGTGAGAGAGGGAACACAAGCAGGGGGAGGGGAGAGGGAGAAGCAGGCTTCCCGCGGAGCAGGGAGCCCGATGCAGGGCTCGATCCCAGGACACTGGGATCATGACCTGAGCCGAAGGCAGACGCTTAACGACTGAGCCACCCAGGCGCCCCCAAAATTCTTTTCTTTTAATTCTGTTATGTTAGTATGTTGTATTCTTTATATATTCCAATACTTTTTTTTTTTTTTAGTTGGGATGACTTTTTAATTTGAACTAATATTTTGAGACATATAAGCTGGCATTGATTTGTAAGCTAACCAAAATGAATGTTTTATTTTGGATTAACCCTGAGGAGCAAGATTTGCCCTTATTGTATCTCAGTGCCTTGTAGAGTTCGTGGATATCTGTTACTGTGACACCTTTCAAATGTTTACCAGTTCTCTCGTTTTTAAAGATCAGAAGCAAGACTGGATTAATATTCTAACCAAATTATGACAGGAATTATAAAATAACAGATTTCATCCCTTTTACTGAATTTCTCTGTTCCATAGACATGGCTTCCCACTTAAATGTTTGGGTTTTTGTTTTATTTTTTAATGAATGACAAATACATTTTTTTTTCCCTCTTCCCTCCCCTTCTTGCTTTCCTGATGGAACAGAAATCAAATATAGTGAAACTGACTATCCGTACAAAGTGGTGAAAAGGATTGAGTTAGAATTTGAAATATTGATACCATCATGCTAGAATAAATTTAAATTTTTTTAAAAGTCAATAACTGAAGAAAGATATCCCTCTATAATAAAGAACATTCAAGTACTTATATTGAATCTGAAGTTCATGACTGGGCTTTTTAAATTTAAATTAATTAAGAACAACAATTTTCATTTATATTTAAACAGTGATAGCTAATTTAAGGTTTACCTTAATAATAAAGCTAATTATTCTTGAGTAAAAGTAATAAACCAATGATGCATATATATGACCGCTGGCACTACTTACAAACCATTTACTCAGTTGTTATTCTTCTGACAATCTCAGCCACCTCATGCGTTTAGAAATATTGAAGGAAAGAGGGACCTCTGACTGGCAAACTACAGTCACTAAGCCCATGCACTTAGCTCTCTAGGAGAATTTAACCAGTCCTTATCTAGACAATTAGTTGAAAAATAACTATCAGAACACCCTGTTGTAATTTTTCAAAAGATGACAGTGAGTTAAGGGAGGAGGCAGAGAAAATGAGAAGCAAGGAGTCATAAAAACAATCCGAATCCATTTAGGATAAAGGCAGATAGCCCAATATTTATTAGTAGTCCTTCAGAGTACCATTGTATTACAGGATGGATGGTGCATAGTGCAGTAATTGACATTGATAATAATGATCCTGAATCATTAAAAGGAAGTGAAATTATATTTCTTGTGCTGGGCTTTTTTTTTTTTTTTAAGTATAATTGTGTAGTATTGTGTGATACATATCCATTGAGAGTATTTTAAATCTAGAAGATATGCGATGCTTATAAAACTTGTTATCCAGAAAAATCTGGTTTGTGAAATACCTTATTCCATGATAATGCTGGATAAATAATTTATATTCTTTTAAAAAGAAACCAGAATATGCTGACTAGATGAGGCACTGCAGTACTTGGATGTCTGTGGAAGTCCCCTGTATGTTTTAAATTTCTATATAATACCACTAGCTAATGTGACTTACTTAAATGTAATGCCAGTAAGAATTATGTCTAGTTTTCAGGTCAACACAAAATGTTTTTGTAGTTAATATCACAACAGAGTCTCTGAATATGGGAAAGCACTACAAAAAGGAACCAAACCTTGAGATACTTAACTAAGTTAATTATACAGTAGCTCATGTTATTAACATGATTGTTTCCATGGAAGTGATCCATGTTAACTTTCTGAAGGAGTGGAAGTGAGATTTAAGCATAAGTTCTTGTGGTTCTAGGATTCAGGTGTCTTTACTGTGGTGAACAGCAGGTTCACTACTTACCCGGTGGACTCTCCAAAGGGCCTGTTCTTCCCAGCTCCATTTTCAGGCAAATACTGAAGAGCAGATGAATAGTTTTTAGCAGGTCTTGCCTGAAATTATTGACAGTGACACACTTACTGAGTGCTTACTCTGGGCAGAGTATTAGTGATTCACCAATTATCGAAACTTTCTTGGCACCAGGTCCTGGGTAAACAGAAATGAACACAACAGAATTTTCCACTCCCAGAGCATTTCTAGTCTAGTAGCAAGAGACAGAAAAATGACCAGATTCATAAGGAGGTGGATAAGCGTGGTGACACAGATTTTTAACAATGCATTGTGTAAGCTAAGGCTTTGCTGGGGAGCCAGTATTTGGGCTGTTTCAAAGGCTGAATGAAAATAATTGACAGGAAGACGAGTATTCCAGGCTGAGGCAATAGCATTTTAGAAAGACACACTTCATAAAGTGACTGAGGCATCCAGGGAACATAGAAAGGGTTCAGTGAGGCACGAGCCAAGAAGCATGTAGGCAAAAATGGCAAGAGAGAAGGATGGGGAGGTAGGTTGGGGCAAGACTGTGACTGTTTGTCAAGCTTAACTAAATTTGGCAAGCATTAGGGATTTGTTTTTTGAAATATTTGTCTTGGCTCAAAAGCTAAACCAAAAAGGAGCTAGTCTTGGACTCTCCAAAAGGGCCTTCTTCTTCCCACCTCCATTTGTATAAATACTGTGGAAGTACTGGTAAATTACTTAACTTTTCCCCAAGTGACTCTTTCCCTCTTACTGTCAATATCGCAGCTCAGGGTGATAGGTCAGGGACTGCCGGCCATTCAATAGAGGCCCAGCCCAGCACCCACCCCAGGCTATCAGCTGAGCCTGCTGGTAGTTCTAGAGTAGTGGTTAGCTTGAGATCCAGGAGAAGCAGGTGGGTAGGAGTCACTTATACCCTGCTGAGTGCTGCTGGTGTGACAGGAAGGAGACAAGGAATAACTATAGCGGTGAACCCAAAGCAGGGAAGCCCAAAACCTTGGTATATCTTTCTCATCTCCCAAAATGTGTGCTTTTAAAAACTTAAAATGGATAACCAGTACAACAGTGTATTCATGTATATTTCTTACTTAGTCTAAGGCATCTTTACAGCAGTGGTAGACAGCAGACTCAATAAATTTAAAAAATAAAAATAGGCATAAGAGGGGACTCATGTGACCACTGAATGCATAGGTAAGGCAAGGTCTTTGTTCTTAGGAATGTTTCAGTGTATTTGTACTTTTATCTAATCATAGCCGTAAGGAAAAGCAGAGATCTGCAGGGTAGTTTTTCTGTTTCTTCTTTTCATTCCACATTTCTTTACCTTAATTCCAGTTGCAATTGTTTGTTTGTGGATTGTGTCCCTCATTAGACAATAAATATCTCCTCTCATCCTTGTGGCTACCTCAACGCCTAACACAGTACTTTGCACACAGTAAGCACTGGGCAAATAATTGTTTAATGGATAAGATACATGTGAATTATTGAATGACGTGCATCAAGTGAGTATCTCACATTTACTCTCTTGGTATTACGGATGATATCCTCAGTCGAATGGATTACTGAACCATTTAATAATCACTAAGCGATCATTTGGAGTAAATGAGTACACCTGTGCAGAATAGTTACATTTTTTCTTCAACCAAGAGAGACTTTAATATATATTTGGAATTCAGGGCTATGGTATTTTATGTATATAGTGTATACTGTGTCTACTTACATTGGGAAGTGAAACTACATAGAATTCTTTATTTAATGGTTTGTTTCTGTGGCTATTTCTTTGAGCCCTTTAGATGCCATACGTATGTATAAGCTCACAATGTTTTTGCAGATCTGAGTCTTGACTATTAGCTTCTTCAAGAACCATTTGTCATTTGAATAGTTTTTGCCCCTCTTAAAGATGCTATTTTTCACTTTTTTTCTTTAGCACCTTGCTAGACTTTACATTTGTCATATTTGTGTTTTCCTTTAAGTAAAACATCCATTGTATGTCTTATACATGTTAAAACTACATTCATATGATATTACAGGGGTGATCAGGAAGAAATGAGTAAACTAATGAAAGTTATCCAGG